TATATAATAAATATTATTATATTATATATATATTTATTATATATAAATTTTATATTTTTATTTTTTGGTATCAGAGTGGCAGAAATCCGGAACTGTCCAAAACTTAATTACCACATACTATTTACTCATCTAATGTGATGGCTCGAGGCTGTTAGGTCAGTTTTGATCCTTCTGCATTCAATATGTAGAATCAAAACTCCTCTTTTTCTTCTTTGTATCTGGGAGGCTTAGTGAGTTAAGACTTGTGCCTCTGGTTGGAAGGTCTCCCAGATTGAGCAAAGTGATTTCACTGTTGGGACCTTGAGCAAGACCCTTAATCTCCATTTTGCTCCTGGGATGCTTTAGCCCTGCTTCCTCAGAAATGAATGTCACTTTTGATAAAAGTATATGCTAAATTTAAAAAAAACAAAAAAAAAACCAAATATATAATGTTACTTTATACCTCCAAGGTTGTGGTCTTGTGTGCATCTGCGTGTTGTATTTGCATGTTCTCTCTGTGATTCTTAGGTTTCCACTGGATAACCCAGATAGATACATGTATTTGTAATCTTCATATTCTTTATTTTTAATGAAATTCTATATTTTTTCCTATATTGTACTTTGATAATTCTGCTTCTGGGCCTTCAACTCAACTTTTTGATTCCATTTACATCTGTCCCCCTCCTTGTGAAACCACCACCACCACCTCTCTTCCTGCAGGTTCCAGCTGGACCACGCCCGATCAAACCTGATCTGGAACTTGAAGACCCGAGAGGAGCTGCGGGACGCCCTGGAGGGGGAAATGCGTGCCTTCAATGTAGATCGGGAGCTGGGAAGCGCCAGCGTCATCTCCTGGAACCACCAGGAGTTCGAGGTAGGCAAGGCTGGGCGAGGCTCATATGTTCATCTCTCATTACATTATCTAAGTTACGTGTATGATCTGTCTTAGAACAAAGTTTCCCCAGCCAGTCCTCTGAGCCCCTCAGACAGTGCATATTTTGCTCCCTCCTGGCTCCCAAATCACCTGACCCATACAATCAAGAATACTGAATGCCTGGTACTGTTGTGCTGGGAGGGAGCAAAAATGTGGCCAAAAAAGTCTCGGGGTCCCCGAGGACTGGGTTGAGAAATGATGCTCTAGAAGAAGCAAGTTCTTTAGTGGTCTGGAGAACAGGTGCATACAGTCTTCTGTCATGTTGTGTCCAAAACCAATTTCCCTTCACGCAGGTGAAATACGAGTGCCTTTCTGATGAGATCAAGATCGGGGACTACTACCTGCGTCTCCTACTAGAAGAGGATGAGAACGAGGAGTCGGGGGCCATCAAAAGATCGTAAGACATGCCCGTCTGTATAGTGTCGACTCACTTTCAGTCATTGGCTTCGTTATCGATCATTACTCATCATAACTCTTTGTACATCATATTTTAGTGATTTCTGTGTAGCTACTGATGAATGCCATTTCAGTAGATTTAGCATTTCCTTAGACCACTTGCGTTCATGGCTAATTCATGCTACTCTCAATAAATCTGTCATGGGTGCAGTGTTTTTCCAGGCAGCAGTCTTCATTTCCAGCCTGTCTGATGGTACCCACCCTTTGCTCTTTGCAGGTACGAGTTCTTTAACGAGCTGTACCACCGCTTCCTGCTGACGCCCAAAGTCAGCATGAAGTGTTTGTGCCTGCAGGCCTTGACCATAGTCTACGGCAAGTGCTATGAGGAGATCGGCCCGTTCACCGACACCAAGTACATCGTGGGGATGCTCGATCGGGTAAGTGCCTTCCCGGCATGGGGGGGGCTGGTAATCCTGGGAAGTGTCCTCATTGTGCCTCCATAAATTTATCCTAACTTCTAATTAGTGGATCTTCTCCTCCTTCCATCAGTAACACCTACAGACATTATATTAATTGTTGTGAGGTACAGCAGTTTAATAGAAGCTTTTTTAATGTTGACAGTGTACCGATAAGCTGGAGAGGGACAGACTCATCCTGTTCCTTAATAAACTCATCCTCAACAAGGTAAGGCTGCTTTCTACCACGTTCTCTGGTACTGTAGACCCCTGAGGACAAGGCCTCCAGATGTTTACATCTCTTCTATACCCTCTGTTTGTCCGACGTTTGCAGTTATATCATCAGATGTATGTAGTATGGTGAAATGCTTGCTTTCGTTCGTCCTGCAGAATGTAGCCCCTAAAAAATTGCAATAAGCGCAAGACAGGTCAAAGGTTACAGCATCTGAACATAAATAACCCTGTGAGCTTAACCAGGAAATGAGGTTGAAAACAGGGAATAACAGGAAATAACATTGCAGTAGGAAGACACACAAACATTTGCTTGTGCAAGGGTCAGTTGTAGCAAGCAGCTTTTGCTGGGTAGCCTGATTGCCTCAGGGTAAAATGTCCTTCAGTGTTGTCCGATTAGCTTAGGTTCCTACAAGGGAGGAAGGAGGGTTTATGCCAGGAGACTTCTGATGCCGTCTGCCTGTTAGGGGATGTGAGTGGGTCTGCGGGTTAAGCTTCTGTGCCTGTGATCAGAAGATCGGCAGTTCAAATCCCAGCATCAGCAGGGTGTTGTCTCTGCTGGGCTCTTAATCCACAATTGCTCTAGAGCCTTTGCATGACTTTGGTGTCTGCTTAATATCAAAATTGAATAAAATGCAAAAAACAATGTTAAAATGTATTAATCCTTCTAGATTCAAGTCAGCATCAGGGAGTGCAATAAAATGTCTTACGTCTTTGCTTTCTCTCTCTCTCAGAAAAACGTGAAGGAGGTGATGGACTCCAATGGCGTGCGCATCCTGGTGGACCTGCTGACCCTGGCCCATCTGCATACCAGCCGGGCGACTGTGCCCCTGCAGGTGTGTGCCAGCCCCTGCATCTCTCTCTCTCTGCTCTGGGTTTTATATAAAGTGTAGTCGAGTCCTGGGGGTGTCGCGGCCCTGCATTGCGGCTTCTCACCTGCGCGCTTGTGAATTATTCTCCGCCCCAAACACGAAAGCTCCACACCCTGCCTGTGTTTGTGTGCTTTTCTCAGAGAGCACGCCCACGTATGCTCGCCATGGGGCGCTCTGTTTAAGCTTGCGCTTACTTTGTGTCCATGTCTGTGTTTGGGGGGGGGGGAGGGATTGGCATCTCCTCAGGCTGCTTCCTACAAATACGCTCACCGTGACCCTGACTGGAGTGCTGATGTTGGAACACAAGTCATGTGTAAGAATGTTTAATGTCACAGATCAATATGTAGATCGGTGATTCTAATCCCAGTCTTCTGGGACCCACAGACAGTCCACATTTTCATTCCCTCCCAGCTCCCAACACACCTGTACCAGGTATTCAGTGTTCTTGATTGGCTGGGGTCCCCAGGGGCTGGGTTGAGGAACACTAAGGTGGAATCTTTAATAAGTACACAAATGTATAAGCCGTACCTGCAGAGTGGAAGGTGGGTGCAGCCTCTTCTTTTGCTGATGTAGATGCAGTTAAGACAGATCTTCCTGGCTCTCTGAGACCTCCTCTCTGGTTTTTCCTCTCATGCTGATTGCCCTCTTTTCCATGTCCCTGTGTGTCCCTCAGAGCAACGTGCTGGAGGCATCTCCCGACATGAAGAGGGAGAGCGAGAAGGAGTGGTACTTCGGGAACGCCGACAAGGAGAGACGGGGCCCCTTCAGCTTCGAGGAGGTACGTTTGGAAGCTTCTGAAGCTGCACTTCAGAGGTGGGAGTGTAACGCTTACAAAATGGGTTGGGGTCAGGCTCACACTGCCACAGGGCTAAGCTTGTTTTCCTCACTGAATGCTCTCCCATCTCCTTGGAAACTGATATCAGTACCGTAATGAATATAAATACTGTGCCTTGTTGATTTTGGCTCTGTATCATCTTCTGTGGTGTTTTACATGCACTTTTACAGCCCTCTTTCCAATATGTTTTGGGTTTCCCTCTCTTTATTGATTACCTGCGAACTAAATACGCTCATCGATCACCTGCTCCAGTAAATGTTCTCGTATCCGGCAACGATGGGACTGAGGCAGTGCTGGATAGTTGAATGTCACAATTGGAAAACCACTGAATTATAACACATCTCTCACACTTAATTTTAGTTTGTGTGCATAAAAAGATTAAATTATTGTACTGTTGTACTCCATAACTATGCACAGGAACTGACATATGAATTACGCAATGCTTTTCTTGTAGTGTAAATTTTAACAAAATAATGTTATTACTTAATATAAATTTTTAATTTTTTTGCTGATATTTTAATATTGCGCCCGTTACTTGAATGTTGAATATGAGAGCTTTTATGGTAATTGGCTGGGTTTTGTTGCAAATTACTGCCCCACAGATGCAGGAGTTCTGGGACCAGGGCACGCTGACTGCCAAGACGCGGTGCTGGGCTCAGGGCATGGATGGTTGGCGCCCCCTGCAGGCCATCCCGCAGCTGAAGTGGTGCCTGCTGGCCAGCGGGCAGGCGGTGATGAACGAGACTGACCTGGCCACCCTCATTCTCAACATGCTCATCACCATGTGCTCCTACTTCCCCAGCAGGTAGCCCTTCAGCTCGTCGTCAGTTACCCTGGCAGCGCGGTTAATGAGGTGGCATGCAAGCGAACATGCCCTGCAGTCTTCGGACAGGATTGAGTAACCCTCTGTTACACCCTAACTTGTGATTCTTCCCTGTATGTGCAAATATCACATACAGACATTATGAATAAATCATTCACCATGAAATGTGATTGTAATTTTCTAACCCCTGGAATGTCGTTTGACGTCTCTCTGCTCTGTTCTCCATAGCTTGAGTTGTGTAAGCTTTACACAGCAACAGTTTACTGTATTGTTACAAAGTTAAATTTGACCAAATAAGTTACTAAATCAGTTTTATTATTTTCTTTATGTGACAGCAGAGAGGCTGACAAGAAAACTGTTTCTGTTAATGTTAAGGGCCAAAGATGATGGTGTATCTGTTTATCCATCGTACCAGGGACCAGGACAATGCAATTATCAGGCCTCTGCCTCGGGTCAAGAGGTTAATCAGTGACAATACCTGTCTGCCTCACATTGTTCAGGTATTTACGTTCAATAACAATCACCTGAGAACACCGTGGTTTTTGTTCTTGGAAGTATAACTGTGTTCATGATCACACATTCCATTTAGTCTGACCCCCTTTTGCTCTGGCTCTTATCAGCTGCTGCTGACCTTTGATCCCATCCTGGTGGAGAAGGTGGCCAACGTGATGTACTTGGTCATGCAGGACAACCCCACCCTTCAGCGCCTCTACCTGACTGGAGTTTTCTTCTTCATCATGATGTACACGGGGTCCAATGTTCTGCCTGTAGCCCGGTGAGAGAGCATGAGGGTAGAACGCCCCCCACAGGGCTGCCTAGGACGTGCAAGCCTCAGTTCCTTACTGTTTGATTTTGCATATTTGGAGTTTGATTTCACCTTTGGCACATTCCCTTGGTATCCTGCGACAACCAGCAATCACACCTGGCCATTCAAACTCTTTCACAAAACCTTTAAAAAAGTGACACCCGCAGTAGTTCATCTGCATTTCTCTTCCCTTTGTGTGTCGTGTTCACTCTTAACTTATAAATACTAGTGTGAGGACTGTACCATTTTCCCGGGGGTGTGGAAAATACTCAGAAGGTCAAAAGTGATAATTAGATAACGGGGCGCTTTTCCACCGCACAAAGTACGATACTTTCGGTACAGTACTTTCGCTTTTCCATTGACTTCCGGTCAAGTACCAGTACCGAAAGTGCCAAACCAGCTGGGGTACTACTTTGGTACTTTGGGGTGGGACTTGCAAATATATTTGCTGTTGATTGGTTATGCAAATAGCCTGCCACTGAAACACAAAATACAACCACCATCTTTTGAAACACACAGCGAACAACGAGAAACTAAATAAAAAGCAATAGAAACAAAAATATTTAAAAAATAAAATGGAAGGATGGACAAACGAGGAAACACAGGCTTTAATCGCCATATGGTCAGATGAACAGATCCAGAGGGATTTGGATGGCACGACTCAAAGTATTTGCCGTAATAGCAAGCTACTTGTAAGAAATGGGGCACACGCGAAACACCGAACAATGCCACTTGAAAATCAGAAAACTTAAGCAGGACTACAGGAAAGTGAAGGATCATAATAACATAATAACTTTGTGATGATGTCAGTCAGGGGCAGTCACCGATGATATCATTTGGCACCTGTACCAGTTTTTACGCCAGTGGAAAACCGACTTTATGGAAGTACCAAAAGTGCGGTGGAAAAGCGCCCATAGATGACCGCAGAACCCATATATATTACATGCAAAGTACTATCATGGTTTGTAGTGCAGTGTAAAGCCTTTACGGAACCCACCGTGATCCTGGGTCTCCATGGTTCTGTGACGCTGCCCTGCTGACATGCCCGTCAGAATACCCCGCACCCTGTCGCCTTGCTGCTCTCATCCTGCCCCGTTTTGTCATCTTGTCACTATCTTGCGGTCTCACGCTCATCTTGCGTCCTTCCATGTCTTCCAGGTTCCTGAAATACACTCACCTGAAGCAAGCCTTCAAGTCGGAGGAGGTGAGTTCACCTATAAATCCCTCTGTCTCCTAATCAGTAGGCGGGATGGATGGATAAGATTTTATCGATTCCCCTCAAGGGACATTCCCTTGTTACAGCAATGAGTCACACTAACAACAAACAACTTAATTATAAAGAAATATAAATGGAGAATAATAAAACAAGTTTGTTGCTAAATATTATAGCAATATTAAAACGCATAATATGTCTTATGCACATTCTCATGCCACATAACATTATTGCACATGTGCCAGATAATATAGCGAAGATATGGCTGTGACATGGGTAATATTGCCCCAAGTCAATATACCGTCATAGTGCACCTCACTGATTGAGGAACAATACTGCATATCCGTAAACTGATAGAAGCAGTTTTGCACATCAGTGAAACACAGAGGAACAGTATTGCACATCAGTGAACAGAGTCCATATTAAAAAACGTGATTGTTGTGGGAACAATGACCTACAGTACAGTTTCTTTACACATGAAGGTACAATGCTCTAACTCTCACACCTCAATTCCACGACCTTTGACCTCTGGGTCAGGCCAAAGGTCAGGACGTGGTCCAGCGCAGTGTCCTGGGCCCTGTGCTTCCAGAGGCAATGGTGTGCTACCTGGAGAACTACGAGGCGGAGCGTTTCGCAGAGATCTTCCTGGGCGAGTATGACACACCAGAGGCCATCTGGAGCAGCGAGATGAGGTGATGCTGGAGTCCTTGTCAAGACCTCTCCCTCTGGGGGTGTCCGCACACATGCCCGAGTGCAGAGAGACCTCTGTGTTTCAGGGTTGCTTATTTTAGTCTGACTAGGGACGTGCCCACACAGCTTTGCAGAGAAGGGCACTGCAGTTGTGGCATTAAACAAAACTCCTAGTCAAAATATCCAGTTTAACATAAAGCAAAGAAAAAAATGTGAAAAATTAGTTTCTGATGCCCCCACCTCTTATTAAGGTACATGCACTTGTATCTGGCATTAAAGTAACATTCTAATTCTAAGATATCAGTATAAAATCTTAAGATTCATAATAATAAGTAATATCACATATTAAATATTTACACTAAACTAAGAATAGCAAAGAAAAGCATTGCACAATACGAATATCAGTTCCTGTGCATGCCTACGGTGTGACGCTTTGTCTTTCCAGTTGTTCCATTATTGTTTGCTTCACAATTGTTTGCAAATACAGTGGTACCTCAGTTCTCGAACTCATTAGAACTCTAATTTCTAAAGTCGAACCAACCAGTTCGAAAAAAAATTACATAGAACTCTATCTGAATCTCAGAAGTCAAACCATGGACGCGACCTAAGATAACTGGCACGCGCCGGGAAATGAGTCACGCGGCACGTCTCTCAGCGGAAACAAAGGGTAACGCTTCAGTCTCAGCCTCGCATTCGCTGTGATAGCACCGTGCATGTTTACACTAACTGAATGCATATATTTAGACAGTAAAAATACATTTAGACAATGATAGACAGTAACAGTAATTATTATATATTAAAATACATTTAAAATAAAGATTTCTTATTCATTATTTTAATATTAATAATAAACCATTAATACGTTTAATTATAATAAAATTGTTGTGCCTGGCGGGGACAGAACAGAGACAAAGGCGCAGACGTCAGGGTATTGGGGAATACTGGGTTTAATTACAGGTAAGGCAGGCAAAACGCAGACGGACAATACAATGACCGGACTGGGGAAACAAACTGAAATGTGGACGAAATACAGAGGACTAGTGACAACAACCAGAAACAGCTGATCACACGGGGATTCCACACGGGGTTAACGAGGGGGCGTGGCACACGGAAGGAGCAGACGATTCTGAGGTACCACTGTATATCGAATATATCGAATATCTGACTTCATCCTGCAGCAACATTGCAGCGTGTTAAAATAACAGTACACTGATCATTAGCATGTCTGTGCGTATAAAACCATTGAGTACTGTGTAACTGTTTGTCAGTGCCTTAGGCTTGGTGCTGGCAGATAGACCTTTTATTGTGTGTGAAATGCCCACCGTATGTAAACAGGCACAAACATCTACAGCGGCAGTATTTGGAGCGTTCATCGCAATGTCCTGTATGTTGTCCACAGACGACTGATGATCGAGAAGATCGCTGCCCATCTGGCCGACTTCACTCCCAGGCTGCAGAGCAACACACGGGCGCTCTACCAGTACTGCCCCATCCCCGTTATCAGCTTCCCCCAGCTGGACTACGAGCTCTTCTGTAACATCTACTACCTCAGACACCTATGTGACGAGATCCGGTTCCCCAACTGGCCAATCCGAGAGCCTGTACGTCGACCATCCCTCTTTCATGAAATGCCTGTCGGTGTTTTTAAACTGGCTTGATAAACATTAATTCCTCAGGAGATTGGGGTTTGAGTCTTCGCCTTGAAGTTAGCATGTGCTCCCTATGTTGTGGGGTTGGATCTGGGTTCTCCGGTTTCCCCCCAGATTTGAAAATCCTGCTAAGGTGAATCGGAGTTGCTTCTTTTTATTATTATTTTTAAATTTTTGAACACTTGGGGTGCTTCCCTGCAGGTGAAGCTGCTGAAGGATGCACTGGAGGCCTGGAAGAGGGAAGTGGAGAAGAAGCCGCCGTCTATGTCTATAGATGACGCCTATGAGGTCCTCAACCTGCCCAAGGGACAAGGACAGTGAGTCAAGTCTATGTCTTTGCAGAAGCTCTCGAATTTAATTAGACTTATTGTTCTAGGCAGAAACAATTAATTAAATGCTTTACAGACGGCCTGATTTTTGGCAATTTTCTGTATAATGGGTGCTTTGTCATCTAATGTCACTGAATAATGAATTTGTTTGAAGAACCTGTCATAGAAAATCTGTGTTAAGTCAGTGGTGAGGTGGCAGTGTCAATTTTGGTGTTTCTCTACAGGCATGATGAGAGTAAGATCAGGAAGGCCTACTTCAGACTGGCCCAGAAGTATCACCCAGACAAGAACCCAGAGGGCAGGGTACGTTCATCTGCGGCTTTGTTCTCAGCTGTCAGAATTGGAAAGCAATGTCCCAGATCCGTTCATCTTAATGTTCTCTGTCTAGACTCTTAATGAATTTGCACAGGTCTGTACATTTGCTGGGAACAAACAACCTTTGACTGCTTTATGTTATGGGAATATAATTAAAAACGCTTTACTGTGGGTGTTACGAAGAGTGGATTATGGTTACATTTTTCTGGTGTGCATGGATAGCATGGTGTAATGTTTCTTCCACCCCCACCAGGACATGTTTGAGAAGGTGAACAAAGCCTACGAGTTCCTGTGCACCAAGTCAGCCCGAATCACTCACGGACCCGACCCAGAGAACATCATCCTCATCCTCAAGGCCCAGAGCATTCTCTTCAACAGGCACCGGCAGGGTTCGTTATCCTTTTCCCGGCACTTCCAAGCTCCCTTTCAGTCTGTCATGTTTTTGTCACTCTACCTGTCCGTTTGGTCAGTCCCGTTTGCCGCATCAGATTTGCCCAGCTCAGGTCTGTCTTTCCTAGTTCATGGTCGCCCATGTTCTGGCTTCTGTCCCAGCTAAACCAGACTTCCTCCAGGACCTTCTCGTTAACAAGATTTGGCCCCCTGGCTGGTTTATCAACGACAATTAAGAGTTCAATTTTTGAATCCGTTATACTTAATGAGATGCTGGGACTAGGAATACCAGATAACCCCATCTGTTTACATTTTCCTGCATCACAAGCCCGCTTCCTGGTGTGGCAGCCATTCTCTTGATATCTACTGGCTCCCATTTGTCTCCTACAGAGCTGGAGCCCTATAAGTATGCCGGCTATCCCATGCTGATCAAGACCATCACCATGGAGACTAGTGATCAGCAGCTCTTCTCGAAAACCTCCCCGCTGCTCCCCGCCGCCACAGAGCTGGCCTTCCACACGGTCAACTGCTCAGCGCTCAATGCCGAAGAGCTGAGGCGGGAAAATGGGATTGAGGTACGGTCGCGATGCGTCAGTGTTCACTTTGACGTCTGTTTTGTTGTTCCGCCATGAATGTTAGGAGATCAAAGCCATCATTCGGATGAGTCATCTCCTGTTGCTGCCGTCATCTGCTATGAGCTCCCCTTAAGTCACCTCCATCATTCTTCTCTTTTTCTGTCTGTGCTGCAGATGCTGCTGGAGGCCCTTACCCGATGCGTGGCTGTGCTCACTGCCTCCAGCAAGCTAGAGGACATGGCCGTGCAGGTATGATGCTGGGGCCTGATCCTGCCCCAGAGGGTCAGCCAGTGTTCCTTTCTTTCAGATTCATTGCGTCTCAGTTTCTCAAGTCAAGTCAGATGGGGATTGTCCATCCATCCATATACAGGTATACAGTGGCATGAAATATCGTTCCCCCCAGGACCATGGCGCAACATACAACTAGCAACGAAGGGACGGGTTTTACAGTACTTAAAGTTTTTTTAGCCTAGTCTAGGGTCAGTGTGAGACAAACTGTAAAAGTGATTTCAAAGATTTATTGTGGGATTAGTTATTAGTCAGCTGGAAGACAGGTATTTACAATATTTACAAACCAATGGCAATAATAATGCTGATTTACACAAAGGCAAATTTTGAAATACCCCACTTGAACTACAAGACAACAGTGGGACCTGAACTCAGAAAACAGAAATATGACCACACAAACCAGTTACAAAAGTAGAGCTGCCGCCTGCTTCCTGATAGGCTTCAAACTTTTGCTTAAGAAGCATCACCTTTGGCAGGCACCAATCATCTTCTTTCCCTGGTTCTACTGTGATCCACTGGCGAGTCAAACAGCTTCTTGAGGGGGAAACCACCCACACAAAAATACGAGGCAAGGGCGTAACAAAGTGCAAAAACGTATCTGGGTCCAGGTTGTGGGTGCACTAGTATAAGCAGAGATAACCAGACCTCCCTCTCCCCAACCAGCTCCTTCAGGGGGGTGGGATACCCAGACGCTCCCAGGCCAGTTAAGAGAGTCAGTCTCTCTAGTGTTTCCTGGGTCTGCCCCAAGGTCTGTTCCTGTATGGATATGCCTCAAGCATCACCCTAGAGAGGCATCCTAGATAGGTTCTTGAAGCTCCTCAGCTGGTTTTTTTCAATAGGGAGGAGCAGTAGCTCAACTTTGAGCCCTTCCTGGATGTCCAACTCTAAGGCTTATCTCAGAAACCTTGCAAATTAAACTAATTTAAAACGTATAGATAATATAAACCTGAGTATGAATGGCAAAGTCTTGAAAGCTGTGCAAAATGTTATGTTTTTTTCGTGTGGGTTTCAGTCATAAGCCTCCCTGGTGGGCTTCTGTGGACCTCAGAGCAAAGTGACAATTACTCCTGCCTCCCCCAGGTCTGTGGGCACATCTGCAGGTGCTTCAGTGTGGCAGCGCAGTTCGAGGAGTGTCGGGAGAAGATCATCGAGCTGCCCAACATCATCCGGGACCTGTGCCACGTGCTCTACTATGGAAGGGTGAGGACAGCTCTATCCCTTTGAAGATGGAGGCCAGATTTTAATCTAGGGCTGGTGTCTCACATCACTTTCATGTGCACCTCTCCACAGGGCATCCCCCGAATGGCAGCCTTGGCGGTGCAGTGCGTCAGTTCCTTCGCCGTGGACTTTTTCCTACAGACGCACCTCTACCACGCTGGTGTGCTCTGGCACCTGCTGGTCAACCTCTTCAACTACGACTACACGCTGGAGGAGAGCGGCATCCAGAAGAGCCAGGAGACCCACCAGCAGGAAGTGGCTAACAGCCTGGCCAAGTACAGCCTTGTAGCCCTCAGCCGGCTTGGGGGCTACAGCACGGGCCTGGAGGGGGAAGCTGCAGACAGCGTGGTGGAGACCCCCCCAGAAAACCCCACCATCAGGAAGAGCCTAGCTGCCATGCTCACCCCATACATCTCCCGGAAGCTGTCCTCTGGCACTCCTGCGGAGGTATGGCTAGGATCAGAGGCACTTTATGACGTGTTCAGATGACAACCTTGCATCTATCCTGCTAAACTGGAATTAGTGGTTAGGTTTAGGCGTTAGATTTAAGATTGGTATGATGGTAGCCCTTGTGAAAAATACGGCTCCTGGTACCATCCAATGGTAATCTGTCCTGACCTATATTGTCTGGTCTCACCATAGAGGGATCCCTTCTAGGCCTGGCTGTAGAGGGATCACTATATTGGTCCAGCTACAGAGTAATCTGAAAGGGGCTTCATCATTGTCTGGTCTCACAGTAAAGGGATCCTGGGCTTTGTTGTAAACGGATCCCTACTGGGTCCGGCCGAAAAGGAATCTGTAGGTGACCTTATCATCGTCTGGTCTCACTGTCCATTATATTTGGTCTGTTCTAGATATTAAAGCTGCTCAACAGTAACTCGGAAAACCCATACTTAATCTGGAACAATGGGACACGGGCTGAACTCGTGGAATTTCTGGAAAGCCAGCAGGAAAGCCACATCAAAAGGGTAAGGGGAGGAGTGTGTCCTTGTTGACAGACATAGGTCTGCATAAGAGTTAGAGAATGGTTACTTATATTTCTGCCATTGTTGCACAGAAACTAAATCTACCTGAATTGAGATAAGCAATAAGGTCATAAGGTCGTTTTGCTTCTCACGCAGAGTGAGTGTGATAAGAGCTTCGGCTCTGAGTTTGTGTTCAGCGACCACAGCAAGGAGCTGATTGTCGGCGAGATCTTTGTGAGGGTCTACAATGAGCAGCCAGCTTATCCTCTGGAGGTCAGTAGCCACACTCACAGCTTGCGCATTGCCGCAGACAAATTTGAACAGTACCCACCAATCATTTTATCCGGAACATTAACATCATTTTTTATGCCCCTGCCCCCTCCATCTACCATAGTTCCCCAAGGTGTTTGCTGCTAGTCTGCTGGACTATGTGGGCTCTCAAGCCCAGTACCTTTGCACCCTGCTGGCTATGACCCAAGCCAGCAAGGTAGAGTCCCAGCAGCATGCCCAGAGGCTCAAGTGGGCCGAGATGGCCCTGGAGGCTCTCCGCAACGTCATAAAAAACAACCCAGGTACAGACACTCGTGTTGACGTGTACAATATGACCTGTAGACATGTATGAGGGCACAGTCAACACAGTGTAGCACAGGTGGAGTTGGTTTGGGTAGGTGTGGAAGGGATGCCAAACATACCTCTCCCTCATGACTGTTGTGTTGAGTGACCTTGTCACCCCACTATGTACAGGGTCTGAGTCAGAGTGCATCGGACACTTCAAGCTCCTCTTCTCCCTGCTACGAGTCCATGGGGCAGGCAAGGTCCAGCAGCTGGCTCTGGAGGTACTTCTGTCACCTTCACCCACATATAACACCTACTCTGTGGTGCCAGACACTGTTGACTGCTCTGTGACTCCTCATTCTAAAATGCTATCTTTTAAATCATTTTAAGTCTGCTTAGTTGTATCATCTGTACTTTCCCAACCTCAGGTTGTGAACACTGTCACCAAGAACCAGGACTGTGTGAGCAATATCGCAGAGTCTCTTGTGCTGTCTAACCTCCTGGTGCTTCTCCATTCTCTACCATCCAGTAAGACCTTGTTCAGATGTTTGCCTCCTCCGGCAGTAAAATGCAGATTCCCTTTCAGTCATGTTGCTGATCCATCTTGGTCACGTTCACTCACATCATGATTCTGTCCTGTTTTAGGCAGGCAGCTAGTACTGGAAACCCTGTATGCCTTGACATCCAATACGAAGATAATTAAAGAAGCCATGGCTAAAGGTAAGTGCAGTAGCCATGTGGTTAAGCTAACTTTGTGTTAACACCCATGCTATTAGTAACCTTGTTCCTTTTATCTACAGGTGCACTGATCTACCTGCTGGACCTCTTCTGTAACTCCACGCACCCCCAGGTGCGCTCCCAGACTGCTGAGCTCTTCGCTAAGATGACCTCTGACAAGCTAGTAGGACCCAAGGTAAGACGGGGTGTATGATGCCGTCTGCACCAAGTAATGTGAGTGACAAAGGAACTTGAATTTGAATATTGTTCCAGGAAAGGTTTGTCACTGATCATTCACATCAAGTGTAATGCCCTCTCCATGTGCTGATTTGGAGAAGCAAAGGGTCTATTACTATTGAGCTTTGAGAATAACTGGATAAGTATATAGAGGATTTGTGCCTGGATCTTGTATGAAGGCTGAATATAGGATTACATTATACTATTAGAGGTGCAGAGAGAATGGTTATCCAGGTTTGGTGTGGGTCTAACCAAACCAATTGCAGCTTCAACTTGAGCAAAGATCACTTTTCCTTTCCGTCCAATCATGTACCAGGACTTGGTGAGAATCCATATCATCTTATAAGGATGTGGGGAATGTTGTAGGCCTAGATGTCCAAGTCCAGATGGCTTCTCTCACTCCTATCTCCTGCTTTGCTCCTCTCACCAAATTGTTGTACACTTGCTCAGTGTTTCCGTGTCCAAACAAAGCTTTCTATTTGGTTTTATCAGCCTTCCAGGTTGGTCTGTTACAGGTTCACCTACCTTTCCTTCAGGTCCGGTTGACGCTTATGCGTTTCCTGCCCTCCGTCTTCATGGAAGCTATGAGGGACAGCCCCGAGGCAGCTGTGCACATATTCGAAGGCACACACGAGAACCCCGAGCTCATCTGGAACGACAGCTCCCGGGAGACGGTCTCCACCACCGTCCGCGAAATGATGCTCCAGTACGATGTCCCCTATGACTCTGTGTCTTGCCCCTCACACTACTCGTCATTGTTCTTCATTGTTTACACCTGCAGTACCTACCGCAAACTGCAAGATCCCATGCCTTGGCTAATAGCATTGTATACAAGAAAGTTGGCCTATGCATGTGTTTTGTAAACTTTCTGATAGCTGGTTCTTCCTTTCCCTATCCAGACACTTTAAACAACAGAAGGATAATCCTGATATCAACTGGAAGGTGAGTTTGTGGGTATGGTTTTTAGGCTGTAGCAATTGTGGTGGGTGTACTATTTATGAATAAACTGTACGTTTTCATGATCCTTAGAGCTGCTCTCTGACACAACTAGAACATTTTAATAGCATGAACCATAGAACATAACACAAACATTGCAAAAGTAAAGTAATGTAGCCCATTCATTTTTATTATGGTTATTTAATATATGTCTGAAAGTCAGATTTTATTTTATTTATTTTTTAGTGCTGAATTGAGTGAATTTAGGCTGCCCCATTTAAACTCCCCCTGGCATGACATTTGTCAGACTCCCGCACCCTCTCTGAAGCAAACGGCTCCTCATCTAGCTGAAGATTTGCATGTCCGTGTTTCTTCAGCTTCCAGAGGATTTCACGGTGATGTACGGTGCCGGGCAGGGAGAACTGGCAGTGGGTGGCGTCTTCCTCCGTATCTTCATCGGCCAGCCGGGCTGGGTTCTGCGCAAACCCAGGGAGTTCTTGGTATCCCTGTTAGAAACCCTCACCGAGCTGCTGGAGAAGAATAACCCCAACGTGAGTGACATGCTGGCCTTCACCCTCCCTTGTCTCTGCTGCCACAATCGCTGCCCATGTAGCTGTATGAAGCCAAAGATACAGGCATCATTATCTTCTGTTCATCCTCTTCAGGGTGAGACCCTTGAAACCGTTACCACGGCAGCCGTCTGCCTCTTCAGCACTCAGACCCAGCTAGCTGACCAGGTCCCACCGCTGGGCCACCTGCCCCGAATACTGGCAGCCATGAATCACAAGAACAACGCCGTGACTAAGAGCTCCATCCGCCTTATTCACGTACTTTCCGATAATGAGGTGAGGCCATGGCATCTCAGCACTGCATGTGGCAGCCATGATCCATGGTCCACAACCCTCTTGACCTCCTAACTTGTACCTGTTCACAGCTCTGCGTACGCTCCATGGCTTCCCTGGACACCATCGGGCCGCTCATGAGCGGGATGAAGGTCCGGGCTGACATGGTGGGCCTGGCGTGTGAGGCACTGAACAGAATGTTCCAGAAAGAGCAGACTGACCTGGTGGCCCAGGTACCCCCCCCCCATTTATGTTAATATTTAGAGATTGCCCTAACTCTAGTATTCATAGAGAGGGCCCAACCTTATTAACCAATGAGATGTTTTAGATCAGTGAGTGACACAGGAGGGGACCAATCAACATTTAATCTGAGGCCAGTGCCCCTATGGCCCCACCCCTGCATGCACCCCTGCTGTAGATTCACGGCCACTTTCTTTGCTATGTCTCTGTTTCTTTCTTTGTCTATGACGCTCCTACATCTGTGTCCACACAGGCCCTGAAGGTGGACCTGGTGCCTTACCTGCTCAGGCTATTGGAGGGCATAGGTCTGGAGACCCTGGAGAACCCCTCTGCCACCAAGGCCCAGATAGTCAAAGCACTCAAGTCCATGTCGCGCAGCCTGCAGTATGGAGATCAGGTAGCAATGAGTCTCTGGCAACACGGGGCTTAGCCGTTAGCACATGGCACTAGTAATTAGAGCGGTGGCCGCCTGACAGATGGATGTGTGTCTCTTTCAGGTTAGCGAAATCCTGTCCCGTTCCACTGTGTGGAGTGCCTTCAAGGACCAGAAACACGACCTGTTCATCTCCGACTCTCAAACGGCAGGGTACCTGACAGGTATGTGCTCAGGCCACTCCCTCTCATTCTCTTTGGTCCACCTCAGTCAGCTGTAAACCATCCATTTGGCAGTCATATGACCCATAAGGGAGGGTGATGCAGCTCAGTTCTCCCCTTGCTGTTGCCCTTTGCTCCAACTTTATCTCTGCTGACTCTGCAATCTCCAGGTAACTTTGCTTTTACACACACAAGCACAAATACTGCCCCCTATAGGACTAATTGAGCACAAAGAAGGGATATACAGTAAAACCGGTCTAAGTCAACACTCGCGGGACCAGGTTAAAAGTGACGACTTCGAGAATTGACAAGATACACCTAAGTCGACACTTTGGCGACTTTGTCTATCTCGCCGTTTTGTCGACTAGTAAATATAACTCGCCGTTTTGCCGACTTATAAAATTGACACTTCGGCGACTTATGTCTATCTCGCCGTTTTGCCGACTAGTAAATATAACACCATACCTCTACTACACCGCACTATACACGCGAGACTTAAGCCCAGGGAGCGACTAGTGCAATAGGTGGGGATTCCCCGTTTCTACATTGCCGTGGTGACAAGCAGGCGGCGGGAATGCAGCGATTGGGGTGTCGACTTACAGGTAGGAAAATCCATTCATTTGTGTTGTTCGGGATTTAGGTGACGACTAAGGGAATTTGACGACTTACAAGCGGCGATTTACACAAGGAATTTTAAAGGAAACATCATTAGGAAAAATCGGGACTTTTGCTTGAGCGTCGACTTGTGCACATTGACGAGTTACAAGACAGCGACCAGTTTTACTGTAGATAGTCTGTATCACTATTGTGATATTTACAGAGTTCTCTCATTCCAGTATTACAGCAAATAAAACTTGAATGATGGTATAATCCAGCTTTCTATAACAGCTACGTGTATCCTTCCAATCGTTCATATCTGGTTACCCCTAATAATCAAGACTATTCTTATGTCTTCCCTGGGACAGTACATACACGGCAGATATTGATTTCTGAACTGAAGGCAGCTAAAACATTAGTTAATAGTTCACTCCAGTCCAGAATAGTACATGTAATTAGGGAGCACACTTCTTCAGAATTTGGCAGTATCTGAAGAAATGCTTTCTAGGAAAAAATATCTTTGCAACACAAAACTCCTCCCCTGTGCTGCTTCTGTCACCTGGCTCCTTCCCCGTGGCTCAGCGTCTGTTTCCCCACCCTCCTGGCCTCCCTCTCTTCCTTGACCACAACCCCCCCACCCCTCCACCGCGTTCTGTCTCCTCCTCAGGTGTGTCCACCCCCTCCCTCCTGGCAGCCAGCAGTCCCCTGCGGAGCGGGCTGTAGACGCCACATCTTCGGCTTCTCTGCCCCCTTCTTTCTAACTCTGACGCAGGTAGACAGTCTCTCTCTGGCTCCCCTGCGCCCTCCTCTGTCGCTCTGGCACTGCGTTTGCTTCCTGCTTCTGGTTTTTTCTGTTTTCGCCTGATGCTTTTGTTACTTTTGCCGACCTTCAGTTTTGGTTTTTACTTTTAAGTTCAAGGTAAGTTTTAAGTCTGAACCGCCAACTTTCTTGTAGATAGACATCAGACTAGTTAGCTCCTCTTAACAACACACTTTGCTACCTGACTACAGCTCTTTAGGCAAGGTAACCGCCTTTATTCATGTGCCAATCTGTAGCTTTGTGGGTTAGGTCTCTTTGCCCATGATAGGAAGGTTGCTGGTTCAAATCCCAGGGTTGACAGAGTGATTTGGCCCATCGATCCAAGGATTTCTCACATATGCTCAATAAATGTAAGTTCAAGTAAATATGGATGCAGAAATTTATCAACCAAAGGAAAACCCAAACTGACACAAAAGATTGACATACTTGTAATGGATTTGTGTACTATGACCTGACAAATGGCTGGTTTTCTGAAAAATCTTTCATGAAATAAAGACACTGGGTCCGCTGTTCATTTCCTGTTTCGCATAAGCACCTGTGGCCCGGAAAAAGCATAATGTACTGTAGGTACCAACAAAGTGCTCACTGGGGATTACATGACAATATCAATTGGCTGTGATCCACATGCCTGGGAATAAAGCACAAAAATACTGTCCACTTTTTTTTCATTATTTGGTATTGATTCGCGGCGGCGTGGTTGCACATTGGTTAACACTGTTGCCTGACATCTTTGGCACCAGAGACCCTGTCTCTGTGTGTAGAGTTTGTAAACTCCACGATGACATGGGGAATATTCTCTGGGTTCACCAGTTTCTCCCCCACAGTCCAGAAACATGCTACAGTGAATCTGAGTTACCAAATTGTCTGTAGCTTGTCTGTAGGTGTGAATGTTTGTGTGCACATGCGCATATAAGATGGATGGATGGGTGGATGGATGGATGGATGGGTGATGTTGATTCCTACAGAAATCACCTGTCAGGAGCATCCAGATCTGACAGTTTCTTCTTCCTGTTCGACTAACAAAGGTCCGGGAGTGGCAGGCTACCTGACCTCTGGGGCGGCCTCCACCGTAATGCCAAGCATGCCCCCACCAGTAGACAACGACGTCGGAGAGCAGTGCTGACCGATCGACGGCGGTGCCTACGTCCCGGGCAGAAAGGCCCCCCTGCAATTGCAGTCTACAGCTCTACCAAACTGAACAGTAGAGAGTGAGGCTTTAGGAGGGGGGGGTGACAGGGATGGATCATGGACCCTTGTACCTCTCCACCCTAATGTCCTCCAGATCCCAAACAGCACTCACCTTGATCCAAGGTTTTTGTGTGTGTGTGTGTGTGTGTATGTGTATGTGTGTGTGTTTTTCCCTCCTTAAATCAGTAACAAATCCATAACACATTTTTTTGTGTGCTGGCAAAGTCGTGCACTTGGTTCCTGTCTCGATTTGTTCCCAGGCAAGACGAGTATAGTTTACTTTTGTATGAATATATAATTGGTTTTTTTTTTTACTCATTTTGTGTATGAACGCGACCAGAGAAAGGCTATACCGTCTATTCGATTCCCCTCCCCATCCAGTCCCCCTTACTTAGTCTGAAATACCAGCCAAACCCCCACAGAGGAGACCCCCCCCCTTCCTGGCTCTGCTGGGTCCAGTGGCTGTGGCTTGTTTTTCCTTCCTTTCTTACCATGGTTTAAAACATTTTTTTTTTTTTACGTAATTTTTTTTTTTTTTTTGATTTTCAAGACTGTGATCCTGACTATATGGACTATTGATTTTCTATGATGTTTTATAGTGTTATATGGGAGGGAATAACAGAAACATACACCGGTTTGCTTGATCTGGACGTCTCACCAAATTCATATCTGCTCGGCTGGGCATGACGGTAGCTCCTTCTCTACCTTCTCCAGGATCCTGCTTATCTGCTGTCCTCCTCTCTGAAATGTTTTTTCTTTTGTACTTAATCTCATCCCCCACCCCCAGACTGCAAAAACCAGTATATTCATACTTAAAAATGACTGCCTTTACAAAGTCAAATTAGCTCCTAAGGACACAGAAAAGAAAGAATATTAACTGATTATAAAAGTATGTGAAAGACTAGTGCAATTGTGAAATGGCCTATGTAATATTCCGTATGTAAACTTTCTATATTGAATGTACATTAAAAAAAAAAATCAGTCAAACTGTACATAAAATTTTAAGAATAAACAAAGGGAATACACAGGAAAATGTTTATTTTTCTTAATGTGTAATGCAGTAGACTCTGGAATGATGATATGATTCAGTTCCCATGTGTTACATATTGTATTGAAAGCTACAACAATTAAGTTAACAATTCTGACATTCATCTTTCCAGAAAAGTGGTAATGGCATATTTAATTCTAACATTTAAATGCCCTGGAGGCATAGTTTTATGTCTCTCTTTGTCAATATCTGAAGTAAAAAAAAAAAACATGAATGTAATCTTTTTTGCAAAGATAGAAATTCATTGCACATCATTTTATAGTCAAAGCCCAGTATCGTGATTAAATTGGAATGATATTAATCCAAAATGTTATTCATCATTATCAGGGTCTTGGGGTAATAGGGATCATATTTACCTGACAAAATTTCCAGGACGTTTGAATGCCAATTTACAAAGGCCTACAGCAAACAGAAAGGTCATTATAAACTACGTAGTGTCAAATCAAGTTGTCTATTGCAAACATTTTTTTCCATAGACCTAAAATAAAAAAGTAAATGTAAGATATTGATGTGTAACAAAACGCTTAATATGATAACATTGACTTCCCAGAAACAGCACAGGAAAGCATCATTACCGCGTTTCTGAATATTTATATAATGTGACTCCCAGTGCCGATCCGAACCATATGCAGCGCAACCGGTTCAAATTTCGGCCAGGGTTACTTCGCTACAAAATACTTTTTAGTAAACTGACTTTTTTATTTGTTTTATATTAGTGTAGTTTTGCAAGCGAGATGATGAATTAATGCAAATACAGACGCTCCTCTATTTACGAACGAGTTACGGCGGTTCGTAACTTGAAATGTTCGTAAGTCGTCATTCAACATCATTTTAAGGGTATACGCAAGTACAAAAAACTAGGATGCTGCGCGGCGGGAGTAGCGGCCAGGAGTCGTACTAGGCGGAACAGGCGCACAGATCGAATTTTATGGTTATGTATATTTCGACAGCTACAATTGTAATTGCATTCCTTATGCTTAACCTTTAACGTATATCCCTAATTGTGGAATATAATCAGATTCCATCAACATAATTTGCTAATATGTGTATAAATATCACTCCTACAGGTGTATGCACCTGTATATTGCTATTAATGTTTAGAGAAAACGCTAATTTGCCAATCCCAATTATAGGTTTATTTCACAAAAATGTTTTACTATTCTTTTATTTTGTATATTACTACATTACATCAGTTCATTTTACATTCGTTTCGGGACTCTTTAATATATTTTTCTTTCATTGTGTCCAGTTTCTATGATAATTTCATGTACCCTGGTCTCGTAATCCAACTACCTCTCAATGTGCCGATTACAATCGCATCCCTTTCACAACTCACTGACTGAACAGCGCTCCCAGAAACGCACATACTTTATTTCCAATTACTTACTGATAGTAGAAGTAAGATTCCAGTTCAGCGGAGTAGCTCATCAGCTGCAACTGTAGCCGATTTAGATAATTATTAAGTAATCGTGTATATGGCTATGGCATTCAGAGTACCTAAAGACCTCCCTCTTTTAAATAAAGAAATATTGATTGGGTATATAGTTTTACCACTCAGGCTTAACTACTAAAAATCCATCAACTACTTAAAATGTACATACGAGCACTTTGATTCATTAATCCCATTCACCATGACCTCAATCTATCAAGGAACCTAATAAACTAAAGTTTTTATTTGCATGTTTTTATAACCATTTTCCTTTATTATGTAATGATACACTGCTCCCCATGGAGTGAAAAGGTACCAGTACTTGCATATTAGCCATAAAATAATTTCCCCCTGTGATAATTATAGTCCATCTAAATCTAATGTAAAACACCGGAAAGCTCTTCTTTGGATGCAGCTGTTTCTGCATTTGTGCCTGTGTTGCCATATATATATTGGCGGTATCCTTTTAATTTAAATATCATTTGGGAAAATAAGGTCTGGTCACTCTCGTTCAGAATGGCAACAAAAAAACGTGCATCTCAAATTAAACCCCACAGGTCGTACGGTTCAGGGTGTACAGTACTGATCACGTGAAAGAGCAGCCCAATGGCGATCCACGAAACGCACGCTCTATACGCCCGCTTCCTGCGCGTGTCAAGATCACTTCCGCTATCACTAGTGTGCCTTTGGCGCCAATTGGCAGTAGTAAGTGTTGCTGATATGAGTCGAATTTTCACCTCAGAAAAGTGGGCTTCCATGTACAGCGCTGCCGATGTTTTATGTGAAGAAACGGTTCGCGGTTTCGGTAGGGTGTGTAGTTTAAGTATTTAGCTTGCTGTTTACGTGCAGCCCGCGGGAGTCAGCGCGAGCCGACGACGGGCTCTGACAAAGGCTGGGACGTTCAACAATCTGAGCTTAAAAGGGGTAAGTTTTCAAAAATGTGAAGTTCTGTAAAATAAGGACCTTTGACTAGTAAGATGTTCAACGTACCTAGTTGGAATACGACATGTTCGTGTTTTTCTGTATTAAAAGTCAGTTGGTACATATAGCGAGTCGTTAGAATAACCTCAGTATATCAATTTCTAGGTTAGATATGTTAGTCTAGACGAATAGGTAGTAATAACGGATTAAAGTTAGCTGCCTATGTCAATATCTATCTCTCATGTACTTGTATCTGTGTGTATTAGTAATCAACAGTGCAATGATGAAAGCTGTAGTTAGCCAGTACTTAGTCATTTATCAAACGCTTTCCATGTTGACGCTCGTCTTATGTTTGTTAAAACGTTTCATCAGTTCAGACTAGAAGATGTCAAACGGGGGCGGCGTGGGGTTCATCGTGAAGTTTGTAGAGGCTGGGGAGCAGCGGTCCGAGTTGGCGTCCCAGGCCTACGAGGTAACCGCTATCACTTTGCTGGGCTTTACAGACACAAACCGGCCCATACTGTTTTTATGTATCATGCTCACTGAGCTTCTTTATAAAAATGAAACCAAACTCCCATTACTCATTGGGCAATACCAGCATTATGAATGTGACATTTAGAATGGTAAACAAAATGCTTAGTATCATTGAGTCAGTTTGTATATCTTTTAATGTAACCTCTTGTGTTGAATATAGATGAATTATCAAAATTCACATATTCATTGTACATTTCATCAGCATTATGATTGTTACATCAAACAGAACTTTGCCTGGAATTCCCTCATTCTATTTTTGAGCCTTTTTTCAGTTGATAAATACAAGCAGAATTTTGTGTGGTGTGTGTATGTTTTATCAAACTGTAACTATTTTATGTAAGGCTGTCCTGGAGCTCCAGTCTGAGAAATACCTCCAGACCATCAGTGAACAGGAAGCCCTGCAGCTGAGCCACAACGATAAATCTCTGTACGTGTTCAGCAGCTTCTCCAGCCCGGCCTTCCACCACTGCAGAAAGGTCAGTGTCCCTGCTTATACTTCACCCCTCAACATAAGAACAAATAAGAACAGCCACAGTAGCCAGAAATACATATGTAAGCACACATAATGGGTGTATAATGTATGGGTGTATAAGCAACATATAAGGGGAGTATAATGTATATTGAGTCCGTTTTCCCAGTTTCTATATCTCCTACAGAAATTAAATATGGTTGTGAAATGTAAATGAATCTCAGAGCAGACCCATTAACATAGTTTATATTCTCAAATTCTGCACAATATCTATATGTTAGAGAGAAAGGGTCATTCCATTTACATAAGATAAGTCTTCTTGCAAGAACAGAGCAAAAAGCAGGAAACGGGTAGTTTTGTTTTGTCGTCACTGGGGTGAAACTTGCATCATGATACCCTGCCCACATTTGCTCTCTGTCTTGGAGTTTGAGAATTTAAAATGTGGTTTGCAGTCCTACTGACCGGTTCTCATGGCTCCTTCATCTTCAGCTGGCATGCCGCGTGGTGAGCCCCCTGGTAGTGCTCTTCTGTCTCCAGCGGCAGCGATGCGTACCCAAGGCCGAGCAGCCCATCTACAACATGGCGATGGCCGACGTCACTGTCTCGTGCACTAGCCTGGACAAGGCTGCACGGGTGAGCAGTCACACCTACTCTGTCCCACACTGGCACGCTCTGCTGCTCTGTTGCCCCTAGACAGTTGTTTCTCTTTTCAAATCTATATTTTGTGCCAGTGAAAAACATTCAGTAATTGTTATCCTTTATTATGTCATTATGGCTGCCTGTCATTCACTAATTTAAATTTTATTGCCAGTTTTATTCAGACTGATTTTTTGAATCTTAGAGTTTGAATGGGGGAATGTTTTAAAGTGTGTTCTTTATCTTTTGAGTTGGCTACATCTGTAAGCTTCTGTATCGTCATGATTGGCAGTACCCTGACAGAATGATTAAACCAAAGATGTCAGTCCTTGCAGATGCTGGAGCTTGTTTTGTATAGTTTGTACATATTGGTTAATTACTAGACTGTCAATCCTATGAATCAGATCATTGAGTCCTTTTAAATCAAAACTATTAGGTCTGAGCTTGTCATTTTTGATTACATTTAATGGGTAATTTTGGGAGTGGTGTGGCTCAGAGGGGTAGGACACTGTAAGAGAGAGGTTGCCAGTTCAGGTCTCATCGTTGGCAGAGTGATGTCATTATTTATCCCTAGAGCAAGGCCCTTAACCCCCAATTGCTCCAGTGATTGCCTGACCGCTATGTCGCATTGGATAAAAGTATCTGGCAAACAAATAAAAATGCACCACAAAAGTGTACCTTATCGTGTCCAGGAACTAGTGTGAGCCTGAATGGCATGAGTTAATAGTGGCTCCTTTCCTGGATTGGAGGTGTAACATGCCACTTTCAGTGCACAGATGGGCGTGTTCTTTCTCCTCAGACAGAAGTGATGGAGCTGGTGCAACTGATGGGCGGCCGAGTTTACCGCGACCTCAATGTGTCCGTGACACACCTGGTGGCCGGAGAGGTGGGCAGCAAGAAGTACCTTGTGGCTGCCAGCCTTGGTAAACCCATTCTACTGCCTACCTGGGTGAAGACGTGCTGGGAGAGGTCTCAGGACAGGTAACCTAATCGCTG